CCTTGTGATTTGTCTTTACAAGGGCTTGGTCTAATACGCCCCCACATATCTAGGTCACTATGTGGGAATATTTGCATAATGTGCCCAAATGTTCACGCAAAGAAAGAAGGCGTGGTTTCAGTAACCGCATTTAGTGTTGAAGCAGCCATGTCAGGGAGACGCTGTGTGTTTCTAGGCGAAAGCAAAAGCACTTTATTTGGCCTTCCGAAAGTAGATGCATTTAGGAATCTTTAAGATTACTTACAACAGAACAGCAATGCATTTTATGGACGACCGTTTCGTGAACCTAGGAGAGGAGGTAATTCTGACTTTGCTATGACAATCTGGCGTTACATTTCCGATGAGTGCTTGCGGTGTTCGGCCAATCACAGTGCACTGGGTCAGCTGGCCAATCAGAGCGGACTGCGCTTGTCAAAGGAGGGGGCTTTGTAGAAAACGAAGCGTTTGAGAGAGGCGGGGCATAGAGGACCTACAATAATGTACAGTATTTGAAAAATAATGTGTTTTTTGAACATTAAAGCATGTCAACATATTCTGTTACACCAAATACACAAAATAATGATCTTTAAAAAAGCATCATATGACCCCTTTAAAGTAATTTTTATCATTTTATGTTAGAAAAAATGACCTATATAAAGGTAAAAATGCCCCTGGAAATCAATTTAAGGTGGCAAATACTGACCTTAATGAAAACTTTAAACAAACCATTGCACAGATTCAGTAAACGAACCATTGCACAGATTCAGAATATGAAGACCTTTATCGTATAACCACAGTAAGTCGGTACTAAACCACATAGGCCAAAATGGCAGTAGTTTTTTAGATGGCAAACAACTTTAAAAAGTCAAACCAAGTACCTTAAAGCAATGGCATACTCTTTTAAGTGGTATACAAACCACCCTTAGTCTATTTCTTTGAAATGGTCTCTTTTACTGCCACTTTCTGAGAATGACCCACAATATAAGATTTTGAATCCTTTACAAATTATAGCTGAGAACAAAGCACAAACTCTCAAATATGGAAAAATAGTGACAATATTTCATTGCTGGACTCAGGAATTAGGCTGAGTCTGTTTTTCAAGTAGTGACTGATCTGTGATACAGGGAGTGTCACTGAAAGCTCAGGGCACAGTCTAGTGTTAATGAGCTGGTGAGCAATCAACTACTCTCAGTCACATGCTGGCTGACGACATTGGCTGTTGCTATAACCAGGCACCCTGGCCAGAGTGCTCATCACAGCTTTACCTCTCATGATCTTCAAATGTCAATCATGACTCTAAGACTGGAATGAGGAAACATATGTTTATCTTTCTTGTTACTAATCAGGAAGCAGATACACCAGCCTTGGTTAAAAAAAACAACAACACACATTTCAAATTCAATTTCAGTTGTGCTTTTGATGACAGCTAAATTTAACGTCACATCCGCATTTTAGCATAAACAAATGTAAATCAATGACTGAAGAAACTCTTGTATTGGTTAGATGAGCTGAAAATAATGATAAACAAATGATAATGAGTCCTTACATAGCCAGAAAACATTTATGCTTTAGCAGGGCCGTCGCTAGGAATTTGCTATGGGGTCCCCTCAAAATCACGTTCGGTGGGGTGGCGCGATCGGGCCCCCCCCCTCGCCAAGGGCCCCTGTTACTCAGCTCCATTATTACCCCCTGTCCGATACCCCTGTGCTTTAGCTTTGGTATTTAAATCATGGAAGACTTTAGGAATACATACTAGGGTTTCTAATGTTGTTACTTGTTCAAATCTGCATTTTTTTTTTTTTACTTTTAGGTTAGCAAAAATATGCTGATACATGTGAAGCTGTGGGACGTAAGAGATCATGTGACCATAGCCAACAAGTTCTGCAGGTTTGAGTCATGAGAAACACAAAAATATGTTGTATATACTTGCACTGCATAGTTGATAAAGACACCAATCTTTCAAGTCACTACTTGTGACATATAAGCCAAATGATGTCAAACTTTGACAAAACGTCTTCTGATCTGAGAGCAATAGACATTTATTTAATTATTTTTATTTTTTCTTTATTTGACGTTAGGGATGTAACGATTAACCGTGAGCCGGTTGAAAATCGATTAAA